GCACCTCACCTGAATCAGGTATATTTCATCAATTTGAGTTACACAATATATAACGTGACCATGGGACAAAGTGGAGACCCCATGCTCCAATGTGAGCAAAATTTTCATTTATTAACATCAATTTCCCTTGAAAGTACATACCTGTGAAGTAATACAAGAGTCAGCTATGGAAACGTTAGAGGAAGTCATAAAGAAGCTCACTCATGTTAAGTATTTACTGTTTCCCAAAGAAGAATAAGCCTTGTGAAATTTCTGCTTCTAGCCAACATAGAGTAACAGACCAATTTATCCTTCTCCCTCAAACAGCTTAAAAATGAGCAAAATATATAAAACAATGGCTTGCAAGACTTGAAGGACAGTGATCCCTAAGAGGAGAGGTGTGCCCTATGATTGCTCCAGCTTACTTCCTTGAGAGTTTTCAGGCCTGGCATAAGGAGAGCCCAGCTGACTTCCAGCTGCTCATGGGGAGGTGTTTCACTGACGCTCTCTACTACAAAATTGGCTGAGGGAAGTGCCAGGGGAAGCTAAGGTAGATGGGTGCTGCCACCACCATGCACTGCAAAAGATGGCAGTGGAGAAGGTGTGAACATGGCAGGAGCCTGGAGCCAAAGAATACATCTGCATTACAAGCTCTGGGCATTGTGGCAGCCAGGCCAGTTGTTTTACGTGAGTCAGATGATAGGAAAGCTGTCTGTGCTACCAGGCATTGGGAGAGCTACCTGGCTTGCAAAACCCACGCTCTGGGGACACTACATGCACTGCAGGAACCACAAACAAGCCTCATGCACTGCAAAAACCTGGCACTACATAAGCCTTCTGCATTGCGAAAGCGTGTATTTGCAAGCAGGCTGAAAGGGAGAAAGAAAACCCCTTTCTCCTGCAATGTCTCCCTAGGGCCTCTATTGACAAAACTAAGCATGGTTCCTGTAAGCAAAGAGAAAACATATTAAGGGTCCATTAATTTTCTCAGAGCAGGTGGTAAAGGGTGAATTGGCACTGAGACGCAATGAATTAATTTTATATAGACATTGACACAGTGATTGTAAATCTCATGTGGAAATTCAAAGGGCCTACCACAGCCAAAACAACTATGGAAAGGAACAAAGTTAGAGGACTAACATTACTTGATTTCAGAACTATTATAAAGCTACTGTAATCAAGACAGTGTGGTATTGTCTTAAAAGTAGACCAAATAGATCAATAGAACAGAATTGTGACTCACATAGATAAGGACAATTAAATTTCAACAAAATTTTCAAGGTAATTCTGTGGACAGTCTTCTCAAAAAAAATGGTGCTGAAACAACTGGATATTCATACACACACACACACACACACACACACATACACACACAAAATGAACTGAGATTCATACTTGACACTGTATACATTGTAAGACTAAAATAGGTGAAAATGGGTAATGAAGCTAAATGTAAACTCAAAGATTTTTTTAAACTTCTAGAAGAAAATATAAATGAGCCAGTTGCAGTGGCTCATGCCTGTAATCCCAGCATTTTGGGAGGCCAAGGCATGAGGACTGCTTGAGGCCAGGAGTTTAAGGCTGCAGTGAGTTCTGATTGCACCACTGAACTCCAGCCTGGGTGACAGAGAAAGACCCTTTCTCAAAAAAAGGAAAAAAAAAAAAAGAAAGAAAAGCAAATACAAATGAAACTTTTGTGACCTTGGGTTTGGCAAAGATTTCTTAACTAAGACACCAAAAGAATGACTGGATTAGATATAATCCATAAAAGAATAAATGGATGAATTAAAAACTTCTGCTCTTCATAATAGAACGATTTATAATCCTTTGGGTATATACCCAGTAATAGGATTGCTGGGTCAAATGGTTTTTCTATTTCTAGATCCTTGAGGAATCACCACACTGTCTTCCACAATGGTTGAACTAATTTACACTCTCACCAATAGTGTACAAGCATTCCTATTTCTCCACATCCTCTCCCGCATCTGTTGTCTCCAGATTTTTTAATGATCGCCATTCTAACTGGCGTGAGATGGTATCTCAATGTGGTTTTGATTGCATTTCTCTAATGACCAGTGATGATGAGCATTTTTTCATATGTTTGTTGGCTGCATAAATGTCTTCTTTTGAAAAGTGTCTCTTCATATCCTTTGCCCACTTTTTAATGGGGTTGTTTGCTTTTTTCTTGTAAATTTGTTTTAGTTCTTTGTAGATTTTTGATATTAGCCCTTTGTCAGATGGGTATATTGCAAATATTTTTCCCATTCTGTTGATTGCTGATTCACTCTAATGATTGTTTCTTTTGCTGTGCAGAAGCTCTTAAGTTTAATTAGATACGATTTTTCTATTATAAAGACACATGCACACGTATGTTCATTGCAGCACTGTTCACAATAGCAAAGACTAGGAACGAACCCAAATGCCCATCAGCAATAGACTGGATAAAGAAAATGTGGCATATATACACCATGGAATACTATGCAGCCATAAAAAGGATGAGTTCATGTCCTTTGCAGGGACATGGATGAAACTGGAAATCATCATTCTCAGCAAACTGACACAAGAACAGAAAACCAAACACTGCATGTTTGTGTTGGTGTTGAACAATGAGAACACGTGGACACAGGGAGGGGAACATCACACACTGGGGCCTATTGGGGGGTGGGGGGACTAGGGGAGAAATAGCAGGGGGTGGGGGATTGGGGAGGGATAGCATTAGGAGAAATACCTAATGTAGGTGACAGGGGGATGGATGCAGCAAACCACGGTGGCATTGTGTAACAATCCTGCACAATCTACACATGTACCCCAGAACTTAAAGTATAATAATGAAAAAAAACTCCTGCTCTTCAAATGTGATTTTAAGAGAAAGAAAAAACAAAACAAGCCACAGACTGGGCTACAAATTATATATCTGATAAATGACATGCCCAGAATGTATAAGGAAACCTTACCATTCAATGAGAGAACAAACAACTCTGTTTAAAAACTTGGCAGACAGTTTAAGCAGACACTTTGGCAAAGAAGATAACTGATGACAAGCATATAAAAGATGCTTATGATTCTTAGCCATTAGGGAAATGCAAATTAAAACAACAGGAAGATACCACTACTCACCTATTAGAATGGCTAAGATTAAAAAGATCAATTCTACCAAGTGTTGGTGAGATATGGGAGAACTAAAACCCTCATGCACAGCTGTGTTTTTCACTTTAGAAAACATGCAGTTTCTTTGAGAGCCTATACCTACTGCGTGAGCTAATGACTCCCCTCCTGTGTACTTACCAAAAGAAATGACAGGGTATATTCATACAAATACCTGTTCACATATATTCATTGCACCTTTATTTGTAATAGGCAAAAACTGGAGAGAACCCAAATGTTCTTCAGTGGGTGAATAAATGTTTTTAAAATGTGGAATATCCATACACTACACAGCCACAAAAAGAAATGAAGTATTGGTGCAGACAACTACATGGACAAATCTCAAAATAATTATGTGTAACGAAAGAAACAAAAGAGCACACATCTTACAGTTCTGTTATATAAAATACTAGAAATTGCAAACAAAGGTATAGTGCCCAGAAGCATATTACCTATTGCATATGGACAGGGAAAGGAAACAGCGGGAAAGCTTACAAAAAGGGATTACAAAAACAGCATAAGGAAACTCTTAGGGATGATGGAAATGTTCACTTTTCTTAATTGTATGATGATTTTATATCATATAATCTCATGGAATTTTATACTGTAAATAAGTACAGTTTATTGTGTATCAATTATATCTTCATGAAATCTTTTTTTACAAAAGAATTATTTTCCCTTCTACACTATCATCCCATTGTGTTAACTCATATGACTGATTTTACCATTTTGACCAAATAGACCAATTAATAGAATGAAGCACTAGTTAAGTGCAAGGCAAAAACTTTACCTCATGAGTACATAAAAGAACATGCTAAAGGCATTACTCACATTACTTGAAGAACTAATACAAGTACCAGGAAATAATGTGATAGCATTGCATAATTTAATATCTTCAAATATGCTGCCAAAAATTCAGAAATCAAAGTGAAGGAGAACCACTAGAGTAGAGGATTCTATGCCTGAGGTGAATCTATAGACTTCTACGGAGAGAGAAAAGCTGTACTTTTCTTCTTACATTTTGAAACACATAAAATAAAATAGTCACTTTTTAAAATAAGTATTAACCATTGAGTTCTCAGGTAAGTTAGAAATGATACACTGCTGGTAGGAGTGTAAATTAATTCAATCATTGTAGAAAGTAGTGTGGTGATTCCTCAAAGAGCTGAAAGCAGAACTACCCTTTGACCCAGAGATCCCATTACTGGTTATATTCCTAGAAAAATATAAATCATTCTATCATCAAGACACATGAACTGCCATGTTCATTGCAGTACTATTTGCAATAGCTAAAACACAGAATCAACCTAAATGCCCATCAGTGGCAGACTAGATAAAGAAAATGTGTTACAGATACACCATGGAATACTACGCAGCTATTAAAAAGAATGAGATCTTGTTCTTTGCAGCAACATGGATGGAACTGGAGACCATTATCCTTCACAAACCAACACAGAAACAGAAACAAACACCACACCACATGTTCTTACTTATAAGTGGGGGCTGAATAATGAGAACACGTGGACAGAAAGAGGGGAACAACAGAAACTGGGCCTACTTGAGGGAGGAGGATGGGAGAAAAGAAAGGTTCAGGAAAAAAAAAACAAAAACCTATCAGATACTACACTTGGTACCCAGGTGACAAAATAATCCGTACACCAAACCCCCAAGTCACATGTTTGCCAAAATAACAAACCTGCACATGTACTCCTGAAGCTAAAAGAGAAGTTAAAGTATTTTTTAATGGAATTGTAAAAGCCTGCCTTTCATCTATTCTGTTGTTTAACATTGCCTCATAAATTTTTTTTCACAGTGGTTTTGATTCAGTGTATTGACATGGGTTTTCTCTCTCTTTCCTCTCTGTTTTGATATGCCAGATGTATCGTTAAGATTACTGGAGAAATGGTGTTGTCCTTTCCTGCTGGCATCACCAGACACTTTGCCAACAACCCATCCCCAGCTGCTCTGACTTTTCGGGTGATAAATTTCAGCAGGTTAGAACACGTCCTGCCAAACCCCCAACTTCTCTGCTGGTAAATATGATTTTGCATAAATTTTTCAGAGATATAGGTGGCTTAGTACTTTGTACTTAGATGAGGGATATATCTTATCAAGAGAGTCGCACTGTAGTGAAATTACCACCACTCAGGTATATTTGTAGATTCAGACACAGAACTTTTACCAGCCACCAAAACTCATTGCGGGTGATTGTGTGTGTATGTGTGACTGCATATGCATATATGTATTTTAATGGCCAACTATCTCAAGTGGTTAGAGAGAATCAGAGTAAGAAAATCTGTATCAGCAACAGTTTATTCTTGTCTGCTTCACTTATTATCAATAGGCAGCGGATAACGATGGTGGGAAATTAGCCAAATAACAAGAATGAATTCCTTTCATTGTATGAGCATCTTTTTATTTTATTTTATTTTATTTATTTATTTTTTTTTTGAGATGGAGTCTTGTTCTATTGCCTAGGCTAGAGTGCAATGGCACCATCTCAGCTCACTGCAACTTCCGTCTCCCGGGTTCAAGTGATTCTCCTGCCTGAGCCTCCCAAGTAGCTGGGATTACAGGTGCCTGCCACCACGCCTGGCTAATTTTTGTATTTTTAGTAGAGATGGGGTTTTGCCATGTTGGCAAGGCTGGTCTCAAACTCCTGACCTCAGGTGATCTGCCCACCTTAGCCTCACAAAGTGCTAGAATTACAGCCATGAGCCACTGTGCCTGGCCCTCTTTTTAAATCAATTGTGTGTGTATGTCTGTATTTAATAGTTAGAAAATGTGAAAAATTACATTTATGTAAACATAGTTGCCTAAGTTTCCTTTATGTCATACATGTAAAGTTCCATCAAAATAACCATCATTACAATGAAATTGTATTAACTATTAAACCTGAATTTGATGTCTTTATTACTCATATGCACATGCACAGTAACACAAACCCACATGCATGCATGCTATTAAAATGATCAATTATACAAGTTAATTATTTGCAGTGAATGAGCAGAAAGGAATCTTCTTGACAGCTTCTCCATCAAGTCTTGATGTTCATCTACAAACCTCTAAGTGGTCACCTTTTTCTTTACTGCAACCTCTCTTGTCTAAGTGACCACTGTCTTTTCCCTGTACCATCACAATTGTTTTCTCCTTCTCTCCCTGAATCCAATCTTGCCCTCTTCAATACATTTTAACAGCCAGGTGGTCTTTTATAAGTAAATCAGGTCATCGTTGTTCACAACTCCCTGGTGGCTTGACATTACACCTGTCCCAGAATCTAAACGTGGGGCCCTGAGTGGTTTACCTTGCCTACTTCCCTGTTCTCATCTCCCACCATCCTGCCTCAGAATCCTTTTAGCTCCAGCAAGACCTGCCAATCTCAGAAACAGGCTGAGTCCTTTCTCACAATAGGGCTTTGTAGTTCTTGTTTTGCCTGGAATACTGTTTCAACCTTCTTCACCTGACTCCAACGCATCATTTAGTCTCAGCTCTACTCTGCCTCTCGGACTATCCCATTCTCCTCCCCACATCTCCACCGACCAGCCCCAAACTATTAGCTTGGTGCAAAAGTAATTGTGGTTTCCAAACACCACATGTTCTCATTCATAGGCAGGTGTTGAACAATGAGAACACATGGGCACAGGGAGGGGAACATCATACACTGGGGTCTGTTATGGCATGGGGGGCTAGGGGAGGGACAGCAGAGGGGGTGCGGGGAGGTTGGAGAGGGATAACACTGGGAGAAATGCCTGGTGTAGATGGCGGGGGGATGGAGACAGCAAACCACCATGGCATGTGTGTACCTATGCAACAATCCTGCAAGATCTGTACATGTACCCCAGAACTTAAAGTACAATAAAAAAATTAAAAAGTAATTGTGGTTTCTACCATTACTTTTTTTTTTTTTTCTGAGAGAGAGTCTCACTCTGTCACCCAGGCTGGAGTGCTGTGGCACAGTCTCGGCTCACTGCAACCTCTGCCTCCCGGGTTCAAGTGATTCTGCTGCCTCAGCCCTCCAAGTAGCTGGGATTACAGGTGCCTGTCACCATGCCCAGGTAGAGACGAGGTTTCACCATGTTGGCCAGGATAGTCTCTAACTCCCGATCTTAGGTGATCCACCCTCCTCGGCCTCCCAAAGTGCTGGGATTACAGGCTTGAGCCACCATGCCCAGCCTTTACCATTACGTTTAAATGGCAAAAACTGCAATTACTTTTGCACCCCCTTGTTATTCTCTCTAAAGGTACCTGTTCTTTTCCTTTGTAGCACTTACTACAGTTAATAATGTCATATCTATTTGTGTTTCTTCATTCAACCATCTCGCCCACAAGACTGTGCAAGCCATGAGGGAATGGAACAAGTCTCTTAATTCAAATTATTGCTTCAGTTTCCCTCTGTGTTTAGGCTGTGCATGTTCAACCAGTTTAATTTTCAAGGTTTCTCCATCTGAAATTAGGAATTATGTGCTAATATCTTGCCAGTTTGTTTGTAAATATGACTGGTGTGATAGTTACAGCTTTTGTTGCATTTTTAGGCAGTTACATTGCCAAGTTCTCAGGCATATGTGCAAGAGTTATATACATATATTAACATATTGGTCTGATAAATAGAATCAAATATCACTCAGAATGGTTTTATTTAACAAAATATTATATAGACCATTGAATTATTATTTGCAAAAGTTAAAAAAAAAAACAGAAATAAAATATATTCCATTAATTTGAATCTTATGAACTCTAAATACTTGATCCCTGTAACAGGGCTGTGATGAGTGACCATTTAGTCATCTATAGTCTCTTTAGTTAGCAGTGCAACCCACTGCCATGACCACCACAGCCATCCCCAGTTTTTAAAAGGCATTGTTGACCACACATTATTTTAGATTGCAGTACGAGCCTTTAGTGTCTATCATCAACCAATTGTTTCCTTGATGTTTACTGAAGAAGACTTCATAGGTCACCGTGGCCCCTGGAAACATTTAGGTTTGCAATCCTTATGACAGGGGCCACATTCAAGTTTATATCTACTTTTTTCTTATGAAAAAAGTTTGCTTGTTACAAAAATATTCGGGAACAATTGTCAACTCCAGTATGACGCCGAAGAATGCTCAAGGCTTCTTGAGCATTTAAGAATTTCATCTCTGTGTGAGCATTTGATTAGCAAAGCATTCTTGAATATTTATTAAAGCAGTTTCTCTAAGAAATTATCACAGACCTATGGCAGCCTATTTTGCTATTAAACTCAGCAAATGCATTTCTGTAAAATAGTATTATATAATTGAGGGTTTCCCAATTATTCAAATCTACTTAGTGTACATTAATGACATGTTGCTGGATATTAATTCCGAACCTCTGTTTTGGCATAGTGGGAAAGTGTGACCTGTACAACCAGTATGGGCTGGGATCAAGCTCTGTTTCTTATTCGCTGCATGACCTTAAGCAAATCACTTAATTTCACTGACCCTCTGTTACTCTTATCTCCTGTCTGCTTGTGTAGCGACAGCTCTGGGAACTTGGGTAGCTTAGATGCTTTTCAATCTAAAAAACCTGGACAGCCCTTTCAGCATCCCTAGCTCAGCTGACCAGGGGCAAAGTCTTAAGTGCCAGGTGTATTTTCTACCCCCTTTTTCCATTCCCAGAGTCAAAGAGCTTTACCTTGTCCTCAATAACCTTCTATCCAGAGACAACAAAACCACGCTGGTCACACTGAGACTTGGGCACCCTTTCCTAACAGACTAGTGGCGCTTTTAAGGCCCTAGTGTTTTTTTACTCAGCTTTCTTGATTTATGTGACTTCTGGAAGCTGAATCATAGCAACTTACTTTTGACCTGTTTTTTTCACATTTTCACTGTGTCAGCCTTCTCCCTTCTCAACCCCTAATTCTCTCTTTTTATAACAAGTTTGCTCATCTTTAAAAACAAAGACAATAATTCTCCCTTTGCAGGGTAGATTTTAATGAAATAGTTTATAATGCCTAGCATAATTTCTTAAGCACCTATTATATGCTGTTGCACTATATAGGATATTCTGAAAGTGAAGTGTCAGCAAATGTGTTGTGTGACAAGTAACTGAATCACTTGGGGCCTCAGTTCCTCATTATATGGGAAGTAAGTCGGATATTTGTATATTCTTGCCTATTCTTTTTTATCATTGAGATGAGCATTTGCAAGATAGATTTGGTAAGTGGTCTGTATTCAGGCCTCTGAGCAAAGCTAAGACTCTCAGAGGGATATAAAACTCCTTAGCTTGTAAAGACTGCACTTTTCTTCTGTGTTATAATATCATGATTACTATCATTTAAGCTCCAGGATCATCTTGTAAGTGAAGGGAAATCTTTGATGATTTAGATACTTATGGATGAACTATTATGTATGCTGAAAGGTAGACTGATAATTTTAGTATCACTCTTTTCTGCTTAATTGGTGATAAAGATCATGTTTACATTTGGCCAAATATTTCACTGGATAATTTCTGAGGCATTGCTACTCAAAGTAATTCAAAAGAAAATAAATGTATTCAGTTCCTTAATTGTATTAACTGACTAATTTAGAGAAAACTGGTGCTGTAGAAAGGGCTATGAAGTTTGAGTTAATAAATAATTCACTCTTTAAAGCTCCCAGTTATCACTGTGATTAGTTAATATTACTGGGCACTCACTGAGATTGATAGCAAGACAACAGCTCCTCCCTGTGGATTAATCTACCATCACGATAGCATTCAGAACTGTATTTGTATGAAAACCACAGTACTGTTAATAGATTCATAATAATCTCTACAAATAGTCAAAAGATGACTCTAGATATCAGATGACAATTTGCTAAGCTGCTTCTTGTGGGATTTTGATTTGTTATAAGATGATACTCAATCATTTTTCTTCCCAAATGAACAGTGATAATACACAAAATGATGCCAATACCAAGGAATTCTGGGTAAATATGCCAAATTTGATGACTCACCTAAAGAAAGTGTCTGAACAAAAACCCCAGGCTACATATTATAACGTCGACATGCTCAAATATCAGGTAAGCCTATTTACATGGTACAGATTTCTTTCACATGACATATTTGTTTTCTAAATTACCTACTATTGAATAAAAGTAACTGAAGTAACACTTCTTTTAACATTATTTAAAAGCTATAATTCATTTTTTTAAATGGAAACTTCAAAAGACAACTTGGGGACTACTGACAAAAAATATTCATACATATTCTTATTAGCTTAAGCTTACAAGTAAAATATTTTATCACAAAATTAGAGAAATGTGCCACAAAAAAATGAAGTTGCAGAACATTATACCAATTAAGATTATAAATTTATACTGATAAACCAGATAATTATAATTTTGTTAAGAACATTACTATACTAAAACCTCTTATTTTAAATGATTCAATGTAAACAATCTGCTTTTGTTTTTCTAGTAAGATAGTCCTATGAAAGGATTCTAATAAAATCTAACATTGAAAAATAGTTCAATAATAAAAGAATATTTGATACATATAGTACAATATATGCAAACTTTATTTTTATATCTGGGATTGCCTTTACCTCAAATTATTATTGATAGTAAATAATCCTAATTCCTACCTGGATCCTATAGTGCCTGAGTCTCTCACTGATTCCCAGCCACTTGACTGCCTATATTTTTTTGGGTTTTTTGCACTGTCACCCAGGCTGGAGTGCAGTGGCACAATCTCAGCTCACTGTAATTTCTGTCTCCCGTGTTCAAGCAATTCTCCTGCCTCAGCCTCCTGAGTAGCTAGGATTACAGGTGTGCAGCACCACACCCAGCTAGTTTTTTGTATTTTTAGTAGAGATGGGGTTTCACCATGTTAGCTATGCTGATCTGGAACACCTGGCCTCAGGTTATCTGCCCACCTCGGCCTTCCAAAGTGCTGGTGCGTGAGCCACCACACCCACCAACTGCCTAGATTTTGTTACACTTTTTTTTCATTGACAGGTACAATTGTATGTCTGTATTAGGTACAATATGATATTTTGAATATATGTACATTGTAGAATGACTAAATTCAACTAATTAACATATGCATTACCTCACATAGTTATTTTTGTAATGAGAACACTTTACATTCACTCTCTTTAGCATTTTTTAAGAAAACAGTATATGATTATTAACTGTAGTCACCATATTACACAATCGATCTCTGGAATTTGTTCCTCCTATCAACTGAAATTTTGTGTCCTTTGACCAATATCTCCCCAAACAAACCCCCACCCCCACCACTGCCACCACCTCAGCCTCTGGTAACTGCCATTGTACTCTCTAATTCTATCAGATCAACTTTTATTTTTATTTTATTTTATTTAGTTAGTTTTTTTGAGACAAAGTCTCACTCTGTCACCCAAGCTGGAGTGCAATGGCACAATCTTGCCTTATAGCAACCTCCACCTCCCGCGTTCAAGCAATTCTCCTGCCTCAGCCTCCCATTTAGCTGGGATTACAGGCATGCATCACCATGCCTGGATAATTTTTGTATTTTCAGTAGAAAGCGGGTTTCGTCATCTTGGCCAGGCTGGTCTCAAACTCCTGGCCTCAGGTCATCCACCCACCTTGGCCTCCCAAAGCGCCACTGTGCCCAGTCAAGATCAACTTTCACATATTTCACATAAGAGTGAGATCATGTGGCATTGGTCTTTCTGTGCCTGGATTATTTCATTTACCATATTTTTAATGCATTATAATTTTTTATTAAATATGTTCAGATTATTTTTCTTAAAATGAAGAAACTAGTACTTTAATAAAAATCAGAATATCTCAAACTTGGCTGTATTTCTCAGTCACCAAGGAACTTGTAATTAAATGCTGGTTCTGAATTGATGCTAAAAACAAATATATATATGTATATATATAGTTAAATATAATAAATATTAATAACATGTTATAAGATTACATTATATAATTATATATAGTATGTTATATAATTATATTAGGTATTATATTGTATGTTATAAATAAATATTATATAATATATAATGTGTTATAAATATATAATGTATATCATATCATAAATAAATATTTATTTAGATTATTTAAAGATAATATTATATATATGTGTGTGTGTGTGTGTGTGTGTGTGTGTGCTGTTAGGGCCTAGCAGATATATATATATTAAATATACATCTATTTTATTTTATTGGCTTAGAATGCAACCCAGGTATCTGTACTTTATACAAGTTCCTCAAGAGATTTTATGCATCCTATGCTTTGAAAAACACTTATTTAAAATGTTGTAAGGAAACCATTTAAAGTAAAATATCTATATAATGGTACATTTTCCAAAAATGCAAAAGAATATAATTTTTTCTTGTGAGAATAGTATCTACTCTTTGAACATCATGGATAATACTTACTAATATATAATATGGCATAAATTCATCACTTATAAATTAAAATATAATAGAAAACACATTTTATTTAGCTTTTTCCCAAAATATTTAAATATGCTTAGTGAGAAATGAAAGGAAATAAGAAAAGAAAACTCTAAATGTGATTTTTTTCTCTGAATGAGAAGTTAAATTCCAAGGCAGAAGGCAAATTTCATGCATGGTTTGTATCCCCAAAGTGTGGAAATAGGATGGCAGTTCTTCACCTTCGTGGACTCTATATACACTGCATGTACATTTTCACTTCAGATTAAATGTTTGTTTGAAATTTTAAAATCCTGTGGAGTTTTTTTTAATTGCTGTGTTTGTTATTAAGTAAATCTAGAAAGTAGATAGAATTCACCTATTGCAATACAAGCTTTGTGTAAAGTATTAAAATGTAGGCAAGGTCCAGGTGTAGTACTAGAAAGTAGGCAAGGTCTAGGATTACACCTGTAATCCTAGCACTGTTCTAGGCTGAGGCAGGAGGATCACTTGAATCCAGGAGTTTGAGACCAGCTTCGGCAACACTGGGAGACCCCATCTCTATTCTTTTTAAATAAAAAATAAATAATGCATAAGCAAGATACTGAATTCTAGAAGTAAGTCAGCTTTCTACTGGCCACTGACCTTGGTTGCTTTATATCCCAAAACCTCAGTTTCCTTATGTAAGAGTAAAAATGATATCTACCTATTTTATAGGTTGCTATAATAAGCTAACAGCCTAATATATTTCAAAGTACTTTATGAAACGTAAACAGCCCTAGACTTGCTGTTTTATTTTAACATGTGCTCTGAAGAATTCCTTTGCTGTTGCTTACCTGTCTTTTTGTTGTTGTTTTTCAACAATGCAAGGAATTGGGTGGAGAAGCACAACCAGCATTTTGTGGAATTGCCCTTAAATTGCAGCGTGTTTAGTTGCAATTTATATTACAACTAAATAATGGCCCCGTAGCATCCCCCCAGAAACTAGAACAATCAAAAACACATTTTCATATACCCAAAAAGCACCTTCCCAGGTAGAGGAACTATAATCAGGTTGAGAACTACCACTGAGGACAGAGTCCAGAAAATGGGGTGGGGGAGGGAGATTGCTCTGCTTTTGATCCGCTTTAGTTAATAGATTTTTAAATAAATGTTTGTCTGCAGAAAGCATTATGCTGCCAATAATATTTAAAGTTTAAAAACTATAATGGTTAACTAGTCTAAATTGTCATCAAAAGCCATATCTTTCATTTTATAAAAGAACTCATTTTGGGTCTTGTTTCTGCCATGACCACTCCTGCCTTGAAAGTTCAACCTGCCTTCAGGACCCTTCTCCATGGCGACCATATGCACAAACATTTCCTAGACAGCTGTTTATATTATTCGAAATCAGCAAATCTCATCATACTCCATGAATAAAAATCCAAGGGCATAGTTACCACTCATCTGATCCCTGCAATGTACATGTACGTATGAGAGGTGACTCTCTTGGAGACTTATTTGCCACCATAATGAACAATTGAGAAATTGTAACACTGTAAATTTTTCACTGTGGACTCAGAATTCACATCAATATTATTGCCTTTAGATAAATGTTTGTTTTTTCTTCAAACCTGGTGGGTTATTTTTAAGTCAATCTCACAGTTGATTCTAATTAGTATTGACAGTAGATCCTAGCACCGTAGCACTTTCAGCTAGAGGAATCCCAAAGGAAGTAAGGGAAGTAAATACCTCTGGAATTTGCCACAGTAAGGACTTGAAACCAGGTGTAAAATCCCAAAGCAGTAATAATAACCTACCTTAGTCTAGCTCATTGGTTTGTTGTTGAAGAGCAAATATGGTAAGAATATTAAAGGTAACACTTACCAAAATGTAATTCCTTAGTGTGTGCCAGGCATCCTGCTGAGTGTTTCACAAAAAACATCTCCTTCAATCTTCCTGACAACCCCGTGGGTAAATATTATTGTTATAATTCCCATTTAGCAGATGAGGAAAGAAAAGAAGCTCAGAGAGGTTTAGGAACTTGTCCAAGATCACTTAGCTTGTAAGTGGAATGGCAGAATCAGAACTCACACCCACGACTGTCTAGCTTCTCGGCCTCAGCTCCTGGCCGGCCTGCTAGTCACCTCCTTAACTGACATGAAGTGTATTGGAAACTCCAAAGTGCTGCAGAGACTCTCGTAGCTGCTTTCGTGTTTTTAGTCTGTAATGGTTTACCTGAAGCACCCAGCTCTCTCTCACAACACCCTTCATGCTGCCTCTCACTCATGGTTGCTTGTGAGCAGCATAAAAAACATTATGACATTTTGATGTCTAAGAACATCCCTGTGGGAGAAAATCATAGCTTCTGGTTTGGTTTCAGATTATTGGTCAAACCTTAAATATTCTCTTTCCTGTCATTTGGCAAGGTGTCTGCCCAGGGTATTCAGTCCACGCCTCTGAACCTGGCAGTGAATTGGCGATGTGAGCCTGCAAGCACTGACCTGCGCATAGATTACAAATACAACACAGATGCAATGACCACCGCTGTGGCCCTCAACAATGTGCAGTTCCTGGTCCCCATCGACGGAGGCGTAACCAAGCTCCAGGCAGTGCTCCCACCAGCAGTCTGGTATGAAGCCTTCTATTCTCTCAACCGCGGGGCTCCTCTGGGTCAAGGGGTCACAGACTTCTTAGCACTTGTGTTTCCTGTAGGAGGAGATGACAGCAGTCCTGTGTGTTGGGGTTCAGGGCAGAAAGTAGAAACCGCTGGTATCTATTTTAAGCAAAAACTAATTCAACGGGGACTTCAATGCTTACGTAATGGTGGAAGTGCGAAAGGAATAGACTGGATGTCTAAACATGCCTCCCAGACCTCTGCCGAACTGGCCTGCCACAATCCGGGGAAGGAGAGAAATCAGAAGGCTTCCTGTAGGACCACTGAATTCAAGAAGCCAGAGGTGTAACTCTGATCCTAGGACCAGCAAACACCTATTGGCACCTCCTTAAGTGCTTCTCGGCACCCTCAAACCAGAGGCTAGAGTGGACTGTAGGACCTAATTTGTACCTAGGACCCTAACTGCAAAGGCCTCTGAGAAATGTAGTGTTTCATTTTCTAGCCTCTGAACTATAAAAGGCACACTAGAGAAGGCAAGGGTCTAGAAACTGAACAGATTCATTGTGCCTATATCATCTGCTATAAAGGACTTGTTCTAGAAAGAGCATTTCATTTTTTCCATATGACTGTCACAAGCAAAAAGTAGAATTTGTTTTAAAGATGAATGTCAGCCAGATCATGACCCCAATTTTAATTACTTTAATTAATTGATTAATACTCTCATCTGTCTTCCCATGTATCTGTTTTAGCAGATGTATATGAAAAAAATTATTTAACTCCACTTTGTCCTCTAAACGTACATCTCATGGTGGTCTAGCTAGTTACAATAAGGTCAGGTAAAAGAGAGATTTATGTATGTCTGGGAGGGGAGAGAGAGACAGAGAATTTTTGAATTATAGTGAAACTTTTCAAGATCTAGTTTTAAAAATTAATACTACCCAGAAAAAAACATGGCATCCACTAAACAAAAACCCTTGCATATGCAAAAACTTTTTACCTAATTTATTTTTAGGAATGCTGAACAACAAAGAATATTGTGGAAGATTCCTGATATCTCTCAGAAGTCAGAAAACGGAGGTAATGAAATCACAAGCTTATTTTATTTAACATGTAAAACTAAAATAGCTTTTAGGTATTTGCCAACTATTACCCAAAACATGTAGCAATAAAAACAAACAGAATATTTCATTCCATTTTTGCATTTACTTATTTCAATTAATAAAAGCAAAAAATTCAAAATTCTTCAGTGAATTCTCTTTTCCGTTTTCTACAGACTCCATATCAAACAAACTATTGTTCAGTCCTCTTAAAGAGTCATGTTTCTATCCTGTGTCAGATTCCACACTCAAGGATTAGATATTTTTCACTCTCCCCAGATATTAATTATAGCCTGGAAATTACAAGGGCTTCCACGTAGCACATCTTCAAATTTTGAGGTACCATCTAACGGAAGTAGACTGTTACCAGTGTGCAAATAGAGTTGCTCATAATATTCAATGATAAATTTCATTTAATCACCATTTTGTCAATAAAGTCTGCTTTTGTATGTTCTTTTGAATGCAATGTTCGAAATTACATCCAGAATATTATGTTGACTGTTACCTTGTAATACTTTTTTTTAGGGGTGGGTTCTTTGTTGGCAAGATTTCAGTTAGCAGAAGGCCCAAGCAAACCTTCTCCATTAGTTGTGCAGTTCACAAGTGAAGGAAGCACCCTTTCTGGCTGTGACATTGAACTTGTTGGAGCAGGGTATCGATTTTCACTCATCAAGAAAAGGTTTGCTGCAGGTAAATGAGTATCTCAATTTTTTTCATTTGCAAAAATAATGCTACCTTGACTACTCTTCCTTAAGAGGAATAGGTTGTGATTTTCTCATCTTTTTCCTCCACCTCTTTCCCACTTTCAACTCCCATCCCAATTAGAAAACAAACCAATTATTGAATGAAATAGAAATAGGACAATGAAATAGAAATCCGAAGTCAGGAGGCTCTGGCTACTCATCCTAACGCTGTTTCTTAAGTGGGGCTAGCCAGTTGTTCCAATTATATAGATGGGTATACTCAGGTTAATGGAGTAAATCCTATCTTTATTATATTGACAAACGAGATAAATATTGTTTGCCTTTTTTTTTTTTTTTTTTTTTTTTTTTTTTATTTTTTTTTTTTTTTTTTTTTTTTGGAGACAGAGTCTTGCTCTATCGCCCAGGCTGGAGTGCAGTGGTGCAATCTCGGCTCACTGCAATCTCCCCATCCTGGGTTCAAGCAATTCTCCTGCCTTAGCCTCCCGAGTAGCTGGGACTACTGGTGCACGCCACCATGCTGGCTAATTTTTTGTATTTTAGTAGAGACGGGGTTTCACCATGTTGCCGGGCTGGTCTCCAACTCCGGAGCTCAGGCAATCTGCCCGCCTTGGCCTCCCAAAGTGCTAGGATTGCAGGTATGAGCCATCGTGCCCAGCCTTGCCTTTTAATTTATTTCCCACCTGGAAACTTTTTGTTCTCTGAAAAGGCTTCATAGAGTTTAGGCTTGTCAGGTTTAGCTGAGATACAGGAGAATCTATTTTTCACTTTGAGTTATTGCAAACTCAAAGAATCTAGGTCACAGATCAGAACTTGTCACCCAAAAGCTGAATATGGCCATGAGACAGGTTTTATTTAGCACAAAATACAGAGTTTTGTTTTGTTTTTTAATTGGGGGAGAGGAACTCTCTAATACTAGAGTGATTATACTTTTCAGTGATTTGCTGGAATAAATCCTGTTTTTTCAATGTTTATTATACTGGTGTGATTATTGATTATACCCCTTTCACTCTAAAAAATGATCCAAGTTGGAAAATAAGTTATATGAGCACCCTTTCTAAAGTAAGTTGGATTCTCACATCCAGAAATAAATCTCCCAATCTATTCTGGGCAAAACCCAAACCTCTGCAAAATGTTGATCTATGAAAATGTGAAAAGGCAACTAGCTGATCTGAAAAATTGAAAATTGATTTGGAAACTTTATGTATCTTTTATTCCTATTGTACCTCTAACACATGCAGTAACCGCTCCTAGGGGTAGGGAAGGAGGAATAGAAAAGTTACCCATATAATAATTACACTATTGAACTAACAGGTAACCTGTCGACATGTTATTTTGTTTTGCAGGAAAATACTTGGCAGATAACTAATAAAATCTCATGCAAGGATTTGGAAGATTCATATATTGGAGAACTGATATATGAGAAACAGGTTTTAATTTGGGTTTAATGAAAACAAACCAATATCTGCACTTGGGATATAGCAGGTGGAAAGTCAATGACTTTCAGCTGTGATTTCCCTCACACAATACCTTGATGACCAGTCCTACAGTATTTGCTTCTAGGTGTAATATTGTTAATGGTTTTAAAATGTAATTATTGTATTTGTAAATTGTACTCTCATTCCAGTAAGGCAGTTAGACACTTGAGTTTTAGCATTTTACCATTCCTGAAATGGATGTAATTTAAACTGTGGTATGTAAATTTAATAGTAGTATTGTTGAATGGCACAATGCTTACAGAGGTAGATTGCATTTTGTCAATATATAAAATTTAAATATAATATTGATAGCTGTCATAAAGGGGGTGCCACATATTAAAGAAACTTAAGTGGAACCAGAAGAAAAAGAAACAAACTTACTTTTCTTCAATCCTTAGTATGTTTTACTCTAGTGCTAAATATAAATTCTATCTTCAAATGTTTAGTGGGTTAAATTGAGAAACTATTTCAGAAAAAAAATTCTAAGGTTACAGCATATTCCAAAAAAAAGCATTAGTTACCACTTTTTAAAGAGCTTTTTTTTCAAACTGCAAATTTCATAAAAATGCAAACTGTGTAAACAGGGCCTCTTATTTTTATAACTTGTGTAAAAAGGGAAAGCAATTCATATTTAAAGTTTAAGTATATTAAATTATAATCAAGAGTAAAGAAGATGTTGAAGTCTTAACTCCTTGCCCCTCTCTACAGTTTAGCAAATGTGGAGATTGCTGAATAATCAGATGAAAACCAAAATTGTGGTTTTAAGATTTCAAGACTTTCCATAGTTGAACTGGTTAACAGCTTTTGATCAATTACTCTGAATAGATAGATGGTCTTACTCATCCAGTATGGAGGAATGATATTTTGCATCTTCCTCTTTACCCACAGGAATCAAAACACTGAGACTGAGAATTAAAAAAAAAAAAAAAAAAAAAAAAAAAGTCCCCTCTTTAAATCCAGAAGGAGAGTTTTAATCATTGTTTATGTCATTTGAGAATGGAAAAATAAACTTTATAAATGAAATTCTATTCACATTACTGTGTGATAAATTTCCTTTTGGATGATTAGGATTCATTGTATAAAACTAAATCTTTGCCATTCTCAGAGAATCAAGAGGAGAGTTATCCAAAATGTATGTCATTTCATGGTTGCAAGGTATAATAAAAACTGCAATTATTCAATCTGGTCCCACAATATGAACATTTAGAAAGACGAACTTCTTCAGGAATCTCAGTTGTAAAACCTTCCCTCGTTAAGCTCTGAAAATGATAGTCTTCCTTTAAGTCATATTTAAACATAAACCAATTTCTATTATAGGTTATGCTGTTAAATAACTATAATTATTAAGTATTATTTTTATAATTAGTTGTTAAATTTCATTTTATATCCACTCAAATTTAACAAATAATCTTTAGCCCCTTTAAATTTTAGAATCAAATTAAATTTTTAAAGTCTTGCTTCTAAAATGAGATTGTGACTGGCAGTTGTTTATAGTGAAATTTTTTAATTAATCTTTGTACTCCTCTATTAGTGCTTGCTACCAAGAGACTGTTCAAAATGATTTGTTTTACCTTGGAAAAATTCTTACTATTCAACAAACTCTCTCTTGGCTCCCTAAAGCAGTCTGGTGTTGAAGCTTCTTTAAACAAACTAATTAATATATTCCTTTTATGTAAAGGTATCCAATTTGATTTTGAAACCAAAATAGAAAATGCAAGATTTTAAATTCCGTGAAACATGGAATTTATGATGCTAAAATCAATGGAGAGTAAGCAGCAGAAAATTGAGAATTATCCAGCATATGAATATAAAAATGTGTTTTTTAAGTAATCAGTTCATTTAAAAAATTGAATATTAATACAAAGCATATTAAAAATATGTACATATTACTGGTTCTCATGTCTTTGCATTTGTATTTTATTTTGTTTTATTTTATATAGATCTAGAATGAATTAGTAATTAAACCCAGGGTTTTTTTCCCAAAAAAATAATTTTATTGATTTTTTAAAATGTAATTAAAAACATAGATTACAGTAATCTCTAACATTATTCAAATGTTTCTAGGGACTAAATTAGAAACTGTGAAGAAATCCTATGATCCCTTAATTGGTCTTTATGAAACAGAATGGGAGTCAGCAATTTCAAAATGATTAAACTTTGAATAACCAGAATCTCAATAGAAAATGTATACCTTCACCTTTCAGAAAAGAGATCAAATAATAACACAATAAGCTGGTATCAGGGATTTGCATTTTGACATTTTGTTTTGTTTTGTTAATTTGATAGGTTATAATATCCTGTTAATCTATATCCACAGTACTGTAGAATAAGCATTCATATCCTGAAAAATGATCCTACGCAATGGAAGAGTCTGTTATTAAAGACATATTAAGTCAGATCATTTATTTATTTTATTCTCAAATCAGAATAAAATAAACTGCTATGTATTAAAACGACTTTCAGTACTAAGGGTTAAAACAAAAAGAAATGGTCCTAGTTAACCAGAACGCCATTTCCTGAATGTTATAATCTTTAAAAGGTTCTGGTTTAGCAAGATAAAAAGTATGAATGATGCTCCTTTATTTTGGCAACATGGAAGGTATGTTTTTCTTTTCCAATAAAATCCATATTTTCATGAAATTTTTAAAAATAAATTTTTATTAATAATTATTCTGAATTTTATCATAATTGAAATTTGTAATTACTAAGAATTAAATTTTTAATCATTTTTAAAGCTGTATTCTTCTCTACACCCACAGCCAAAATGAAAATTCACTGCATGGCATTTGGTAATATATTTCACCTGTGAAAGAAAAAATGTCCACAATTCAAAGGGTTTTGAGTTAATAGGAATCCCTCAAACTACAGCATTTTTTTGTTTTGTATATTCTTAATCAGCAAAGTGTTTGAGCCATAATCACACATATTTCCATTTCTAAAATTTGCTTTAGAAAAGCAGGTAACTATAATACATTGGCTGTACCACTAGCTCCTGCTGTATGATATTGGACAAGTCACTGCCCTTTTCAGTTTCTCATCTTTAGCTGAGGAGTCGGGGTTGCCAGTGGTTTTCAAGCTTTTCTTAAAAGCAGGACTTTTTTCTAATAAAATTGTACATGGAATCCTGGTAGTCAAAACAGCTCAAAGCAAAGCAGGAGTTTCTCCAACAGTTTAAATCTGGGTTCCTGAGAGCACGGTTTAAACACCATAGCAGCACACAACGATCTATCAAATGTCCAACTCTGAAGTTCCACAATTCTAATTTACACAGAGAAACCACTGTTTGAGGCTTTATAAGCAAACCTGTAAACTGATATACAATAAAAATTGACAGAGAGCTTACTGTGTACCAGTCACTACAGATATTAGCTCATTTAATCCTCTTATCAATCAAAAAATTGTAAGTACTCTTTTTAATTCTTGTTTTGCAAGTGATGACAATTGAGGCTTAAACAGAATAATTAATTTCCCCAAAATGACACTGCAGCGGGAAGTAACCCAGTTATTCTCACTGCAAAGGAAACGCCTTATTTGCTTTGTCTATCCTGAACAAAAAAATCTGTCTTATGTCACTATACATACTCCATCTGAATGCCAAGAGAGAAGGCACCAGGAAAAAACATTACCAAAATAAGGATAATTCCAATAACTAAGTTGTCAAAAAAGAATCAATGCTTCTCAAAGTCTGATTTGTATCATCACTTATTAATGATTTTGGTTTGGTCACCACTGTATCCTTAGAGCCTAGAATATTATAGGCATTTATCATCATGTGGGGTTACAGTGTTTAACTGTAAACACCGTAACACCACACAAGTTATACACAGTAGGCATCGATACATTTGTATTGAAGGCATAGACTTCTAGGGATGGGACTTGGGATTATACATTTTGGTAAGTGCCCTAAATTTGAGAATCACTGCTCTAGTAGATCTCTAAGGTCCTTCTTAATTCTGACATTATATCAGATTTTAAGCATTAAATTCTAAGATGAAAACCATTTTTCTAGTCAGTTTTTCATTTAGTCCACTTAATTGCCTCTCATCTTTCCCTAGGAAAATCCCTATCTTTTTCTTAAAGTTATTCTGTTAAACCATCTCAATCTCAAAGTAGCTTGAAATGCATTTTCTCCTTTTCATATTTCTTCCCTTTTCTTCAGTGTCTTAAAAGACTTGAAGTAGTAGGGAGGTTGCAAGCTGTTATTTATTCAAAGTCTTAATAAATGTTTCCTTTTTTGCAAGGGACATTCAGATCTCTAACTTGTGAGTTGAATCTGTTTATTTTATAAGCTTTTGACTTTACAAACATGTAGTAGCCTCATTCTAAAAGAGTTGCACCAATATTTTTTCTCAAAATAACCACAGGCTGTAAATTAAATTGAATGATACAGCAAAATATGCAGATACCTACTAAACAGATGAGTGTGTGTGTGTGTGTGTGTGTGTGTGTGTGTGTGTGTGTGTCAGCTTTTCCTTTTCCAAAAGATTATACGTTTGAGCAAAATCCCATTCAGTCTAAATGTACTCGTTTTGCCACATGGTCTTCTGATCAGCAATTTTTTTTAAATGGAAGCATGATATTATACTTAACAATATCAAAACAAGAGTGATCTCTAAATATAGCTTTGAAAGTTAATATAAGTAAATATGATGTGTCCATGCAATGAGCCTAATTAAATTGTTGATATGAATGAACAAATCAAGTTACACTGATTAAAGGAACTGTTCTGATGACCCATCTCCCTACCCTTTACTGTGTGCATTTTCCTCTTAAGGCTTTATTTTATTTTCCCTGCTCCTTTAGGCTCTTTTTCCCACATGGCAATCAGTATCTAAATGCCATTCTCTCACTTATGAATTAAATAGAATTAAATATGGCTACCATTATGTTACTTTTTGTCAGTGGAGTGTATGGAAGGAAAATGAGATAGGAGTACATTGCTTAAGTCTCTAAATATTAAAAACAAACAACAACAAAACACTTGCCTTTCTCTTGTGTCATTGCTTCAATGTTCTGTCAACATTCATCAAGCTGGAGTTGCATTGTTGTCATCTAATTAAGATCTAAATATCTGTCATGAAGGCAAGTCAAATGTAAAGTCTGTTGAGTTGACCGTGGCAAACCTCTTGATTGGCCCTCACATTTAATATCTGATTTCTATCCTAAGTGGGTATGTCTATGAGGAAAAGACACCCATTTGTTGACACTGACCATGGATATAATAATTTATTCTCTAGGTTTAACTTCTAAAATAATTTGTCCTCTGATTTCTGACTGCCTCCTTCTATCCCTAGAGTCATACCTTGCCTGTCTTAAATACATCTTTATCCTTGAAAAAAAAAAAAAAAAAAAAGTTTTCATGAAAAGTATATTTTTAAATGTCCCATAATGTTTTAAAGAAAAGAAGTAAAGTGTATTTGGGCTATATTCACCAATATTCTGATATTTTACAAATCATGTTCTGGCAGATGTTCACTGTGGTCTGAGAAAAAATGGTCCTGTACTATGATGCTTTCTACTTGGACATTAACAATAAATGTTAGTGTTTTAATGAAGCTTAAGAAAGTTATTGAATCAGGTAGAAACTTTTTTTTTCTAAACACACCGGAAAAACCTTTGGAAAAGTTTTAACACTAGTTTATATATCCTTCAATAATTGCAAATAAAATAACGAGGAATGCTTAAAAAAATGCTTCTGGAATTTTGTTTTGATTTTAAGGGAACTCCTGTTATTTCAAATGAATTGTTATCTATTTTAAATTTCATTAGTATCTTTTAGTGAATTTAACTTTATCATCTAAAATATTCAAAACAAAACAATAAAATTATTTTAATTGTTTTAGTATTATTTTTAAGGCTTGCACCTATGACGAGAATATCGGACCCCTATCTATTGAAGAGGTTTCCAATTCTTTGCAGTGTGGAATTAATGCTAGTGAATAATCTCCAGTAATAAGCATTTCACTGTTTTATTTAGTTTTGCTTTGCTTTACTTTACTTTGCCAATCAGTTGCTTTTATACCAAATCAACAATATTTCTTTAAAAACTTCCTGGGTAAATTGTTATATAGAAAAAATTCAAACTGAATCACTTTGCATTTATCTAAAGAATAGTTCAGTTTTTAATCCATCCAGAGTTTATGAATCAGCCTGATAGGTCATAAGCCATTTATAATTTATAATTTTTAAATGTTCCATTGCATGAGTATATCATGCAAATGTTAATTTCATCTCACTCATTCAGTTTTATATTATTTTGATGATTTTTTCTCTGGCAAAGTAAATGCTTGACGTTATTCATATACCATCACTTTACGGTTTTTTAAATAATCCAACAAGTAACTATCACAAGGACTACTGTCCCAAGATCCAAAGTCAAATTTTTTTTCTTTAAGTTGCTAGAATGATAATTCGTATAGCTGTGTTGATTTTTCAGGTCAGAATTTAGTTCTTGCTTTGTTAAATGGACATACATGAAAGAGATCGACTTCTATCTAATTCATATTCTCTGTCTCTCTCTCTCTCTCTCTCTCTCTCTCTCTCTCTCTCTCTCTCTCCCTCCCTCTCTCCCTCTCTCCCTCTCTCCCTCTCTCCCTCTCTCCCTTTCTCCCTCTCTCCCTCTCCCTCTCTCTCTCTCTGTCTCTCTCTCTGTCTCTTCTCTTTGTCTAAGGGAATTGGAAAATTGCTGCTGAACAATTTTTCTTGAAAAAGCCAAGTGTTGATACGATGATACATTAATCTTATCTATGAACAGAGCTTCACTGCAGGCCAAGCAGTAATGTATAAAACTGTCTTTTTAAGCCATTTCAACACTATTGTTTTCAATTAAAGAGAATTCTTGTTTGTTTTTCACTTGTACAGTCAAAGATCAAATGAATTAAATGCTCAGATATTAATTTTCATTCGTACTAAGTGGCAATGTAAGGCATTGATTTTTTTAACTTGAATGATAAGAGAAACTAGGAATCTCAGAGCTTTTGCTGTGTTTCTATAGATAATGAAATTCTGTTAAGGAAAATGCTGCGTGTAGTTTGATTTGGTGGCAGCCTTTGTTTAGAGTTCTCTGATCTATCATTAGAATCTCAATCATCTAGACTGATCTATTAGCAAAAATAGACTAAATTTCTTTATAATCTTGTAATAACTACATAATTTCACAAAATTCTTTGGGCATAAAATATTTATGAAAGGAATTGTGAATGAAAATACTCAAGATACTTTTAAAATTTAGTCAAAATGTTGATTCCTGGCCTTTTTCCTACACGTATATTTCAAAAGAGTATACTTTATTCTGACAGCCATCACTGCTTAGTCTGTGATGGAAGCTTTACTGCCTCTATGCTGTGCTCAAGAGAAATCCAGCAGTGGAAGCAAAGGCTTGCTCCTTCATAGAATTGCAGCAAAGCTCTCTGCTGAACATTGGTGACAGGAAAGTGTGTAATTAACTTGCTGAAGATAATCATGAGACCATCTTAACTTTACTTGCCTTATAAGTTAGAAATAGTATGGATATCACTTTTTGTAAATAATAATTTTTATAAATGTTTTTTGTTCATAATTTTCCCAATCACCTATTTCACAAAATCCTGAATATGCAATTATTTATTATGACACATTACTGCAACGAGGGCTCCCATTCCAGAACAAAGTTTAATTATATATGTAAGTTG